AGGATGCTCCTAGTAGTACGGCCAGGAGCCCCTAGTAGCGTCCTTGCCTTTAGTAGCGATGCCAGGAGCCCCTAATAGCGTCCTTGTTCCTAGTAGCTGTAGCAAGGATGCTCCTAGTAGTACGGCCAGGAGCCCCTAGTAGCGTCCTTGGTTCTAGTAGCGATGCCAGGAGCCCCTAATAGCGTCCTTGTTCTTGTGACTAGGAACCAAATGAATAATGCGAGCGCTTCTTCAAGGAAGTTTTTGCGCAGCCTTTAGGGCGGGTAGGGGCTTCCTTGAAGAAGCGTGAGCTATCCTGCGTCCAGTTACTAGGAGCATGTTAAATATCTAACAGAGCTACTAACTAGCTTATATCTTTTTGCTATCCACGCGGCCAACCCCCAAAACATATTATTGTACTTCAAGTGATCCCCACCCTGAGGGGCGATCTGGAAGAAGGATGGCAGGATTAACAGAATGTTCTGTCGCATGTTTTTGCATCAAGTTTGGTATTTGCTCTGACACATCATCTATCATAGACTGTGTTCTGACGTCCTTGTTAGCATTTGTTCTGACGCTTTGCCTGCCACGAAGTCTGACATGTGCCGTAACCTGTGGTCCAACTTCGGTCCTGATGTGTGTTCTGACATGTGTTTTGCCATGTATTTCGACATTTGTTTTGCCATCAAAGAAAGTGTTTTTTTTCCACATGTATACTGTGGCATACATTTTGGCACCCTATCCGGCATATATTCTGCGCATTCTGTCTGGCGTATTTTCTGGCATCCTCTCGCATTCCATCTGGACTATATTTTTGGCATTCTGTCTAGAAAATATTCTTGGCATACGGAGGACACAGAGGAGGAGGTGGAGCTGGAGGATCGGGACAGCTCTGATATCAACTAACAACCCTACCTGGCAGGTGGTGAATAGCATAAATCTCAAAAGATCCGCCCGCCAAATGTGCTGAGACGTTAAACATTTTTTGGCTTTGGGAACAACAATGCATATTCTGGAGCATGAGGTGTGTCTGTGAGAGTAGTGAGTGGTGGGAGTGAGAGAAAACATATGTTCTTTTTCACTTAACATCTATGCCTCATTGTCGTGTCATTCGCATTACCACGTCCATGAAGGGCAAACAAACTCTCCTCAACAGTCTATGTCTTAGTATATCTTTCATGGTTGCATCATATGCATCAGCTGATTGCAAGTGTGTGGCTTATTGTACATATATCCAACAGTGCTTGCAATTTATAGGTCCAAAAGGGTGAACGTCTCTATATACGTCTCTTTTCTTTTCATCCACGCTCACTCTCGCGGCCTTTTCGCCTCAGGTGGACTGTCCTGACCTGGCCATGGGTCGTCATACCAAGTGGTCTCAGTTGAGCCACGAGGACTTCATGGACGTGGCCCGTTGTAACGTGGAGGCGAACGAAAAATAAACAAAATCAATAAAGTAAACATGCAATAATCCGTGTTGAATTTGTCCAGTTTTTGGATGCGGAGGCCTTGAATCGAGCATTGAGAAATGTCCCAATACATCAAATCCGTGTGCACGTGTGCTGGGGCAACTATGCTGGACCACATCATCAGGAGCGGCTGAGGTTTGTGCATTGTTCTTTTAGGGGTGAAGAATCCGTTGAACACATTACATATGTGTTTTTAATTGTTTTTAAAGATGTAGGTGGAAGCTTAGTGGATCATTGATTCAAGCATGGAGCGGGTGTTCAAGCTTGGGTTGGGCAAATTTAAGAAACAACTTAATCCGTTGTAGATTTGACGCGTCGGTTTTGTGAGGATATGCCTGCAGAGCACTTGTGGCCGTTGCTTGGGGAGGTGAAGGCCAAGTACTTGTTACTGGAGGGTGCAAATGGACGTCATCGAGCAGATGTGCAGTGTTTTGAGTCGGCGGTGAAAAAGGGCTACTTCAAGAGCCACCAGGTGACGTCGATGAAAAGGTGAAAAATAAAAGGCCTTTGTGTTTTCTCCCAGCGGCGGTACAGAGAAAAAATCCGAACATTGATATTTTTCGGTCGACAAGAAGGCCAGTTAAAATGGTATGATTTGATATGTTTTGGGTAGAGTAGAGAATACATGAGACACCTAAAACAGAATATCAGAATACCGTTTTGATTTTATACTGTTTTTACCGTGCCTCTCGGCAAAAAACAAAAAACACACGTGAGGGATCCTGATAGTGCTGAAAGAGCCGCTTCTTAGCATTTTTGGCGCGCATATGTCTCAAGGGAACCCCGAACAGCGCTGAACCAGCTCTTGCCCTGTGAAACCCTAACGTTACCATTTTTTTTAGAGAGAATCATCTAGATTTGTTTTCGCTTCGCTTTGACACATACCAGATGGTCGGATTGTGCTTTGTACAATTGTTTCTGTTAATCTCTTGGCGTTCCCTCATCTTAAAGGATGGTCAAACCCCAAACGACCAGATAATCCGAGTATCCATTGTATCCTGGACATGGTGGGACGGCCAGCTGACACACTTGTGACACACTTGGCATGTTTTATGCCTGGATGGTTGCGCTTTGCGTCCGAACTAGCTGCCAGAACCTGCAAGCACATATCTAGCAATAAGGATTCTGAGTACAAAGGAAGCATCAAAGAATCAGAGAACCTTATGTGTAGCAAACCAGTGTCACGAATAGCTTTGTGTGGAACTAGTGGAAGGTATGTTGTGACACGAGCTTTGTTGAGGAGTGGAGAGGAAGTAATAGGAGTAGGACACCAACCAAAAAGTCACTAGAACCCCAAACCAGAATGTGGGAAGCTATTGCTTATGCCCTACCATCTTCTGGAAGCAACATGATCATCATGGAAAGGTGGACTGTCACAAGACATGAAGAGACATCAAGATCACAGGATTGAGAACTGAAGTCGAAGAACGCCTGAGTTTGAGGTCATCGTTCCCGGGCTGATTGACACCACCACGGCACGGGTCGAAGATCCACGTCTCATCGCGGAGGATTTGCTGCGCTACGTCCGTGCCGCCGGGCATCCGAAGCATGTGATGGCCTCCACCGACTGCGGCTTCGCATCCACGGCACGGTCCACGGCCATCACTGCGGACTTAGCTTCTCGGCGAGAGAGCAACGGATCGATGATGTTTGGTCCGGCCAGACCGGAAACATGTAATAGACGCGACAGAAAAGCGAACCTGAGAGCTTGTGAAGAGTGGGAAGCGCAAGAGCAAGAGGGTTTAAGACTCTACGAGCGGAGGAGCAACGAAGGAAGATGGGAGGCATGATGGCGAAGGAAGATTGATTTGGCCCCTTTGCAATAAGACAAGGTGTTGGAATAATGTTTTTCCGGTGTAAGAGCGCTGCAACCGATTTTCACATCCTGCGAGCTTTGAGCTGGGGGTTGATCCCAGTTGCGTCCTTGCTCCTAGTAGCGTCTTGCTACTAGTAGTAATGCCAGGAGCTACTAGTAGCCTCCTTGCTCCTAGTAGCGATGCCCTTTGCTCCTGGTAGCTTTTGATGGTTGGATTTCTTCGCAAAGAATTATGCTGGGCATGCTGGACAGCATACGCTGTGAGACATTCCTTTGCAGAAGCATTTCATCGTGCTGGTGGATTCCCTCACAAGCCCACTGCTATGGACAAAGCAGGGTTACGTTGCAGACCAGAACACTTGTTCCAGGATTGTGGAATGAAACCCAGAAGGCCTAGCTAGCCAAGGCAGCCAATAGGTTGGAGGCTGTTGTTGTTAGAAACAAAGAAATAAGAAAAGGAAGAGAGGTCTAATACAGTTTGCTCTTAGGTTCAATCATGCACATGGCATCACCTCGTTGGCTGCAAGACATCGACAAACATGTTTAAAAAAATAGCATGCTTTCAGTGTGGCAGCCCTTCTTGCCACGTTGGTGAATTACGTTGTCCTCGCATGTCCTCACCATATTCATCGACGCGGCTGAACCAGAAAGATCCAAGCAAACCGCAACGATGGGCAAAAAAAGATCCCTGTTTTGAAGTCCTTGAAGAGGCCGCGGCTTGCACGGCAAGAGACGAAGCTCGGGATGCAACTGTGGCCCACCGGAACTGACCTAGGTCAACCATCAACCATAATGTTCAACGGGGAACCCTAAGCAATGACCAACACGTGCATCGTGGCTGACAAGACAGACAAGTCAGATTGAATTATCCCATGTGGCAAGGCCATGGTCATCGGGTTTGGGGGTGTTGTTGTAGTGTGTCCTCAGGGTCTCCTCAGGGTCTACAGTGGTGAGGCTCTTGCTTGTGACGCCGGATTTGCCCGTAGCACACACCACACCACCGCACCCATGATGCTGGTGATGCATTGTGTGCAGGCATTTGCGCGCTGCCTGGCGTTCATGTTGCTATCGTAAGATGTGATGATGTGGTCATGGGCCAATCATTCCATTAGATTTCCACCCCACCCACACTTCGAAAATTGGCTTGCAGTTAACTCAATCAATTCCCAAGTCAAAAGGAGTGATGGAACGGAATGGCGCAAATCGGCAGAACTGAAAGGTTGAACATTGTTTGCACAGCGACCGAGACGCACGAGTGGCTGAAAGCAGCGGAAGGACATGTTTAGGGGTGTATCATGACAACGACCATGGAAGCAAAACAAAGGAAGTGGACAGTGTGTTCAAAAGTTCAAAACTGTTGCAGGTACGTGAGTCGAGCGTCCTCGACTCATATCACAGGAAACGTGCAGCGTCTTCGTTGGTCGCTGACTGCACGAGTCCCCAGCGACCCCCTGCTCTTCATAAAACTCTTTGGGGCAGAGTATGACACACACAGCGCGCCGATATCGGCGCTCGAAAGAGATTACGAGCAACCTAAAAAGCCTTAGAAAGGAAAGGGAAAGACAGAAAGAGAAAAGCAAAGGACAAAAGGGAAAGATAGGTGTAGTTACGAGGCCCACTAGTTACACGGCGCACCTCTCGGACAAGTCGCCGACACGAAGGGCTCAGCAATGCAGAGCCGCCTCGCTCTAAAAAGCTTCAGCCCCATCTTAGGGCCAATGCCTTGCTCCTGCCAGGAAGAAAGCTCCCAACTTCGCCAAGGTGACTGACACCAAAGACGAGGGCCAAGGTATCACTCGAGCGTCCAAAGACAAGTGAAGATGAAACTGAGGATAGCTAACACTAGCACCGTCAAAAGCAAAACCCAAGGCAACACACAATGAATCAAACAGATACCTAAAAACCTTCACCTGTGATACCAAGGTACGTTGAAGGAGCCCACCAGCCCTCCTACTAAAAGGATCTTGCCACCGTAAGTTGTTTCGAGCACCAACCTGAACCGGCAAAACAACATCAAACTCACTCGAAAAAGCAACAAACATCTCGAGATATGAAACTGGGGCAAAATGAGTGGCCGCAGCATCTAGCCGTGAAAGCCAAGTAGCCAAATTCAAGGCTATGGGAAGGCAAAAATCACGGAGTTTCTCTGATTGGGAGATCAGGGAAGCTAAATCTAGAGGCAGCTCATCAAAAAAGTCACCTGGGTTTTGAAAACTCCAGTTAAACAGATTCAAAGCCGAGTCATCATCATGCATACTCTCAGTAGTGGAAGTACTCAAAGACTCAAAGACCGTTGGGCCAGTGAAAGCAGAAAGGCTTGTACCGGAGCGCCCAGTGCTTGTGCCACTCATAGGTCCTAATCAGTCGCTCATGAACTTGATGCAGGCGAGCGCAGCCGGCAGTGCATCTGGCAGTTTTGGCAGAAAGGTCTGCCACACTATTCCAGTACACCTGCCAGGCCAAATTGGCATCCGTCAAAAGCGTCTGGTCCAGATGAGCTTCTGTTTTGTAAAGCCGAACCGTGTTCTCATGAACAAGCATTGCCTGAACTCCCAGAGATCTGAGTTGGTGCAGTCTAGGTAAACATGTCGATTGCGCATCAAAGCGTCCCAGCCGCGAACAACATAGCTAGAATCTGTAAAAATGTCCACGTCGCAGAAAAAGTGCTTGCTCCAAAGAACTGCCACGTAACCAGCAAAAAGTTCAGCTCTGTTGTTGTGCTGTCTCAGCCCAGGAAGAAGTCCTGAGGCTAGCGTTTGCCCACTGTCTTCGTGGACGCAAGCCCATGCAGCCAAGGCGCAACACGGTACCTTAGGATGTGAGCAGCTTCCATCAGTGAAGATGCGCTGAGTCCCAGTTCCACAGGGACTGCTATGCCATTCTGTGGGCTCCCATGGAATTTGCAGCAAGAAAGAACGAAAATCATCAATCCAAGGATTTGCGCCCCATAGTCCATGATGCGTGAGCGCTGAGGGAAAACAGTGCCAGCAACCTACACGAAGTGCGGACAAGTTAAGGCTCGATGAGCCAACGTGCCCTGCTGTCCGTAAAAATCACACAAACAGGTCCTACTCGGATCAAATTTGGATATGAAGGTGTTCAAAAACATGGTGCCGTCCTGGGCGCCCGAAAGCAATGCCTGCTCTGCTCGAGAAAGTTCGGTTCGGGCGCCAAATGTTGCAGCGTGATCAATGCCCTCAAGGTCACTGAAGTCCTTCCTGAGGCGCACCGAGCGTGCAATCACTTGAAACCACGCCTCAGTGACCAAATGCTTGAGAGTGGCACGGTCAAGGCTCAAAAACTGCACCTGGCATCCGTCAGAGATGTGCAAAACCAAATCATGACTCAAGCTCCACCCCAAAGTGCTACTGAGTGCAAAAATCTTGGCAAAAGGACCATATGTGCCCTTAGATCCAGCAGTCTCAACAAATATCATCCAGGCTTTCCTGATGAAAGTACTTTTGTGAAGCTGCCGATGAAAAGAGCTCCAGGCGTTCCAGCATTCAACAAAACCCGGGTCCGTGTTCACAGGACAGATCCAAGCCAGTCTGATCAATGGCGAGGCTCCGGGACGTGCAAATCCTAGAGATCTCATTGTCCAGGTCCGCAATTTGGTGATCCAGTGATGGCCCGAAATGGCAGCATCAGCTCCAAACAGCGCACGTGGAAAAAGAGCAACATGTATGATTCAAAAAAGACCTTGGTGGAAAGGATTCTCTGCTGCAGGGTTCTGTTTCGATGGCGAGAGCCATAGCACATGCTGGCACCAAGATCCTCAGGCCCTTCAGTGATGGCAAAGCCAGCAAGCTGCAGAAGTCGACGATCAGCAGCTTGGGCGGCCCAAGCAAGTGTTTTGGAGTGATCAAGCTGCAAGGTCATCATCTCTGTCCAGGCTTGAAGCGTGAGGTGCCCTCGAACCAGGTGCATTACTTCTGATGAAACCAGCTCAAGGTTATCAACATACGAGTATGCTGAGATAGATGGTTCAAAGACTTGGAAATATCTGTGACAGCTGAAGAGCGCAACAATCATAGCCAAACAACTCATTGAGTCTCCTTCTGGGAAACCACTGTCAGAGGGGACTTCACGCCCTATCATCCCTGCGCCCGAAAAGAACGACGGGTGTTTCGAAGGAAGTTGTCCCAGGCCACCAGTATTGGCACGGGAAGTCCCATCTTTCGTCCTAAAAGGAGTATCGGTTTGGGAGACAAATGATTGAAACATCGAATGATGCCCACCATGACTCCATTGCATGAAAGCCCTTGCAGCAGTGCTATTTCCACCTGAACCATGATGGTATAAGTCAAGTCAACACAAGAACGGTTCTTGATGTAGCCAAAGGTGTCGAAGTTGGCAAAAGGTTCAAGCTGTGTCAACAAGTCACGAGCTCTGCAGCTACCCCAAATTCGGTACAGCAAGCTGAACAGAGTTATCGGTCTGTACTGCGTTGCCTCAGTGGCCTGAGTGACCTTAGCTATGCGTGTCACATGACCTCTGCAAAGTTGTTGCGGCCAGTCAGCTCCGGATTCAACTGCTGTGAAACGGTTCGCCAGATCTAGCCTGAACTCATTGGGAAGTGCCAGCAAGTCATCCCTGCTCCAGGCATCTGGCCCACGGGTTTTCAGCCCACTACTCTTCTTGAGAGTGGACGCAATGTGTTCAGCAGTAAATCTCTCAAATCGCAAAGGCAAAGTGGCAGTATAGTCCCTGGCAAAGGCAAAAATGCGGTTCCAGGCACCATCAGGAAGAGAGGCCATGACATTCCATCGCCCAGCCCAAAGATCAGCTAGCTCATTTTCC